TCTGCACAGCAAAAGAAATTATCAGTAGAGTGAACCGGCAACCAACAGAATAGGAAAAAATTTTTGCAATCTACTATCTGACAAAGGGCTAATACCCAGAATCTACAAGGAACTTAAACAGATTTACAAGAAAAAAAAAAAAAATAAGTGGGCAAAGGATATAAACAGGCACTTTTCAAAAGAAGACATTTATGCAGCCAACAAACATATATAAAAAAGCTCATCATCATTGGTCATTAGAGAAATACAAATCAAAACCATATTGAGATATCACCTAACACCAATTAGAATGGCAATCATTAAAAAATCAGGAGACAATAGATGCTGGAGAGGATGTGGAGAAATAGGAACACTTATACTGTTGGTAGAGTGTAAATTAGTTCAACCATTGTGGAAAGCAGTGTGGCAATTCCTCAAAGATCTAGAAATAGAAATACCATTTGACTCAACAATCCCATCACTGGGTATACACCCAAAGGATTATAAATCATTCTATTATAAAGACACATACACATGTGTATTTATTGCAGCACTGTTCACAATAGCAAAGACTTGGAACCAACCCAAATGCCCATCAATGATAGATTGGATACAGAAAATGTGGCACATATACACCATGAAATATTATGCAGCCATAAAAAAGGATCAGTTCGTGTCCTTTGCAGGGACATGGATGAAACTGGAAACCATCATTCTCAGCAAACTGACACAAGAACAGAAAACCAAACACCACATATTCTCACTCATAAATGGATGTTGAACAATGAGAAGACATGGACACAGGGAGGGAAACATCATACACCGGGACCTGAGGGGTTGGGAGACTAGGGGAGGGATATCAGGGGCTGGGGAGATTGGGGAGGGATAGCATTAGGAGAAATACCTAATGTAGATGACAGGGCGATGGATGCAGCAAACCACTGCCATGGCACGTGTATACCTACATAACAAACCTGCACAATCTGCACATGTACCCCAGAGCTTAAAGTATGATAAATAAATTAAAAAAAAAATAAAGCACATCCCTCCTCACTTCAACTTTTTTTTACATTTGTATTTGTTTAAACAGTATCACTGAGGTATATTTTACATATGATAAAACCTGCCTGTTTCTACAATTCGGTGACTTTTAGTAACTTTACCAAGTGATATTACCATTTAAGACTGGGACGAATAATAAATTGTTAAGTAGAAGATTTGGAGAAAGATTTTGTGGGCTCTGTGTATTTTGTACACATGCATATTTATTTTTTAATTTAAAATATATGAACTAGCCAATAAGTTCTTCTGGCAAGTAACTGCAATTGAAAATAGCTTCATAATTTCATTTTTGAAATAAAAATATGATTAAGTTATGTTACACATTAAAATAATTTGGTTACTTCAAGATATAGAAAGAATTTGAAATTTCGTTTTAATTAAATTTATTTTAATTATCTCCAATTATCTTTTGATAATTTGTGTCACAAGGAGTTAAGTCAAATTAAAAAGTAAACATCTCTTCACAGATACAGTAGATCTATGGATAGAGGCAGGAAGATCTACTGTATCTTGAAAAAGTTTCTGTGTGATGAAGGTGCCAGGTTAAACATGAGTGATGTTGCTGTATCTAGACCTTTAAGCCTGTCTGGCTCTATTTTTAGAAACTAGAAAGTTGGGCTGGACATGGGGGCTCATGCCTGTAATCCCAGCATTTTGGGATGCCGAGGTGGGTGGATTGTTTGAGCTCAGGAAGTCAAGGCTGAAGTGAGCTGAGACTGTACCAGTGTACTCTAGCTTGGGTGACAGAGTGAAAGCCTGTCTCCAAAAACAAACAAACAAACTAGAAAATGTATAAGAAATTTATAAATACAGCTACGGATTTGTTTTAACTGGGGATAATATATGCCCACGGGAAGAACAAATAGTTGCTACAGCAATGGTTAGCTGTGCCTTCTCTCCATAATCTCACTTCTTGATTTTGATCTTAGAAGTACTGATTCCTTCTCAGAAAAAAGGAGGCTCTTTTCTTGTTAACTTTAGAAGCGAAAAACTTATTTTCATTTTCTGATTGGATGAATAAAAATGACATAAACAACAAATATTAAAATTTTTTTTCTCTATTTTACTTAAGGCATTCTTGACATAATTCTTTACAAGGTAATTTGGTAAAATAACGTTGACACTAGCTCTTGTCACCTAGCCACTTGACTCAGGTTTTTAAACTAGAGAAGAAAACTGCAGAGGACTAGCATTTTGTATCTGTGCCCCTTATTCTTTTCTTAGCTGTTCCTCATTGGCCAAGGCTAATTCTTCCACTGCTTATGACCTTTCCTCTCTGCTGTGCAGAAGGTGCACTGCCCGGCACAGTTTGTTCACAGAGGTTATATTGCGAAAAGTGTCCTTGGGGTTGTACAACACCCAAGCTGCCTTACACAAGATGTGACCACCTAGTCTCCGGATTCCCTCCTGGAGGTCCTTGTTCTATTACCTTCTAGCTTGCAACATCAGCTCCCACTGGCTCTGCCCCCCTACCTACATTTGATTCATTAAAATATTTAAATACCCCAGATGTAACACAATAAACATTGAAAAACTCCAACTCTTTCTGGACCAAGCCCTCCTGTGAGCAGCAGTCTATTCTCTCCCATATCTTCAAGGGATGAAGACTTGTCCACACCTGTTCATTCTCAGTAACTGACAACGACTTCATGAAGGCTCTTATCTGCACTGAATTGCTCCAATAGCCTGCTTGCTGGTCTCCCAGCACCCCTTACTATTTCCATTCGTCTTTCCTTGTTTCTTTCCAATCCAAATACGGGATATAGGTTTTCATGATCTGACCTATCTAGCTTAGTTTCTTAATTCACTTTGACCTTCCCCTGTAGTCTACATTCTACACTGCAGATGTCCTGAATCTACTGCCACACTTGCAGTTCTCCCCCAAATTGTCCTCACTCCCCTGAATGTTCCTCACACTTGTTGCTTTTTCTTCCAGGGGCACCCTTATCTCGATCTCCCTGCCTGATAAACTGCATGTGTTTTATACTGTATTTGAATTGTATTTTATGTTTCTATGTATTTTGAATTGTATTTTATGTTTCTCAAGAGAAGCACCTGAATCTTATTTATGATTTCAGTGTCTAGTACATAACAGGCATGTAGTAAATGTGTCTTTAAGGCTAATTATTGACTTGTATTCAGCCATCTTCTATCTTCCCAAGTGGGAGATTTATGTCTTTCCAGTAACTGCCACATAACTAGATCTTAATAAAGATTAACATCTGTTGAAGGAACCAACACTGCAATTGTCTCCAGATTCTACCTCTTCCAGTCCATCCTGCACACTGATGGAAGGTTACTTTTCCTAATATACTAAGTCCCCATGGTACCTATCACCTCCCTACCCAGCTCACACTTTCATTAGCTTCTTATTACCTCTTGGATAAAATACAGGTTCTCCTATTTCTGTTCTTTTGCATTGGCTATAATCTCTGCCTGGAATGCTCTTTCTTTGATTTTTACAGACTTTCTCCTCCTCCTTATGTCTCAGAACAAGCTTTCCCTGACTACTCAAACTAAAATGATCTTTGCATCAGTCTATTATATTAAATTGTTATAATTTCTTAATACTTTTCATTTATTAGAGCTAAAATTATCTTCTTCACAGTCTTTTTTTCTATTATGTTTCTCTATTGCTTTCCTCATTAGAATGTATGATTCCTTAACACAGGGACCTGATTGGTTTTGTTCATTCCTCTGCATCTCCAGTTTTAAAGCAGTACCTGGAACCAGAGGTTAACCACCCAAACATTTGTTTAACAAATGAAAGAGTGAAAAACTACTTGAACCAGGCATTCAAGGTCCTCAATGACATGGCCTCACTCTATCTTTCCAGCCTTATCTCCAACTAATTCCAGTTTGCAATTTCCAAAATACCTGTTATACCTCCTAAATAAGCATATCTACAATACTCTTGTATTCTTTCTCTTCCTACTAAATTATCTTCATCATTTAAATTACCTTCATCAGATCCAGCTCAAATGCCATGTCTTCTATAAGGCAATACAAAGTGGCAAGCTCCTTACTACATTATTTCTCTGTTTAATGTCTTCTTTCAATTTCCTGGAGGATTTTTATTTTAAAAATAGGTTACAAGGTCTATGACATTCTTAAAATGAAAAATGGTATAATTTCTAGAATTATAGAAATTCTAGTAGTAAATAAGATTCAAGCCCAAATTTACCTATTTTAAGAAAATTGTGGCCAGGTGCAGTGGCTCATGACTGTAATCCCAGCACTTTGGGAGGCCGAAGTAGGTGGATCATTTGAGGTCAGGAGTTCCACACCAGCCTGACCAACATGGTAAAACCCCGTCTCTACTAAAAATACAAAAAAATTAACCAGGTGTGGTGGCACATGCCTGTAGTCTCAGCTACTTGGGAAG